GACCGTTGCGCCACCTTTTTAGAACACACTGTGAATTCATATCTGTGATATTCTAAAAAAGGTTGAACACCAATAATCTAGATCATGGTCAAATATTTTACGCATATAAAAAATAAATTGGACTTGCGGTACAACTCCTTATTATTCCATATATAAATATAAAAACTTTTATTTTTAAAATTAATTTAACTATTTAAAACATTACTTAATATAATAATATATTTAAACAAGTTAGAGTTAAATTTTACAAATAATACTATCTACAAAAATGGTCAACATGGTCTCAATAGTATTTCTATGTTTGATAGCATTTACATGCTATGTCAGCGCTAGTTATGTTCAACATCATTAGTAATAAATATTTTATTTTAATCAATGTAAATCTATGTATACTTAAATATTCAATTGTTTTTATTATAGCACGTATCCAATATACTCAGTGGTAAAGCCAATTGTCCAGCCTGTCTACAAACCTATTTATAAACCTATTTACAACCCTATCTATAAGCCTATTTATAGTCCAAGCGTCTACCCTGTGCGGCCAATTTATCCGGTTTATAAACCACTCTATCCCATACACAGCTCATATCCTATCTATGGTTAAGTTAGATGTAATAAATATTTTTAAATATTTTAATTTTAATAATTTGTTTTATATTTGTTATAACTAATATGTAATTGAATATAAATTATAAATTTATATAAAACTATATTATAATTAAAATTGTTGTAAAATAATTACAATATATTTTATCGTTGAATACTATATTAAAATAATTATAATATAAAAATAATATTTTATATTCTACAAAAAATAAAGCATTAAAGTTAAAAGATATTTAATGAATAATTAAATATACTATAAATTAACTATAAAATTGTTGGAAATTCTTATATATTTATGCATTAATAAATTGTCAATTATAAATAATTGTACAACACATACATGGCATCCGTTAATATGAGATTTTTACATTGATTAAAACTTTCCCATTAATTATATAAATTTTATATTATAAAACAATGTCATATAATTGTTTAAAAGGAAATTAACAAAGTTGGATGTATCTTGCAAAATAGAAATTTCTGCGAAAAACCACATTTTGTTCGTCACATACAGTACTTATCAATAATTTACATAAATATAATGTACTGTTTAACTTTAAAAATATCTAACGTGCTAGTTTATATAATTATACAGTGTAACCCTATAAATAAATACTAATGAAAACTACAATAAAACCAGATTAGATATAGATGATGGTAAAAACGAGTTAATACTGTACCGATAGGATAAAGCTTTCCGGAAATGTGACTATAAAGTTACATTATACATTAATATCATTTTAGACAAAAAATTGTGGTATAAAAATCAACAAATCTATCATCAGTTTTCTTTGCAAACACTTTGCATAAAAATTACATTTTTAATTAATATTAAATTATTAACTTGGTTAAACATGTTCAGTACGCGAGTGCTAATTATAGCGATCATGGTCGTATTTGCCATCGCTTCAGAAGTATATGGTGGTATTTATGGGGGTCATTATGGGGGACACGGCTGGGGTTATCAACCAAAAATTATCAAGAAAATTATCATGTATGTTTTGTAAAATCTATGTATTTTCTATTTATGCTAGTTATATTGTGTTATAAAATAATATTATGTGATATTTTGATTGTGTTTAGTTATTAATATTTTAATTTATATAAAATTACAATGACTACAATTATTTACAACTTTACATAACTATGTTAAATGTATTTTATTTCACCAGTGTGAAACAACCACATTATAATCATGGTTGGTGGTAATCGTGTGGCTACTTAAACATTGGGTTATTTGGATTATTCTACAGTAAATAAAACATAAATGTATCATGTAACTGAATTAATTAAGAGTTACTTATTGTTATTTATTAAATATTTAAAAATTTAAGTTATATTATAAGTATGGTAAATTAGTTTTTGTCAAATTTAAAATAAAAACATTTAACAAATAAACAAATAAAAACGTTTACAAAATATTTAAATAAACTTAATAATAAACTTAAACTTAATTTGCAAATTAAAAATTATTCCTACTTATTATTAAGAGAGAGAGAGAGAGAGAGAGAGAGAGAGAGAGAGAGTTATTAAAAATATTTTATTTTGTTTTAAGAATTAAAGTATATACAAGTATAATTTAACTTTATACACTAAAAATGCAGATTTTAAATGCCGATTTATATATCAAGGTTATTTAAATGTTCACTATTTAATCAATTAGAAAAATCTTAAGGTAGATCATTAAAATTAATGAAAATATATAATAAAATAATATCTAGAAATTAATCAAAATCTTTATTTCAATAGTTATTTCATTTATTTATAAAACAAATTCACTTGAATTTAAAACTATATTTAAATAATTCAATTTCCAGTTTGTGTTAATCACAAACACTGTCCACAATTACACACACATTCTGTACATTCATTCCCAAAATAACTTAATGTACCCAAAGTGACCCAATTGTCCCCCAATTTACTGCCCACTAAATAAAACTCATACGGACTATGTCTACAGAATATACCATATTGTAAGGCATTACACAAAGCATACATACAATTAATGTACAATTAAGGTGTTTAACGCTATTTGTGTTGAAATAAAATAAATTGTATTTTTTTAAAATAAACTCGTGAAAATTAATAAATACATTATATTGAAAGTTATTTTAAAAAATTGTTTTAGATTAAACACAAATAAAACTTTTTTTGATAAGTTTATTATAATTTAAAAACGAGTTGAATATACTGTTAAAACAAGTGCAGTCTCGCCGATGGATGGGCTGATAGGGGCTGACGGCTACTGATTCTGTCTACCGGTGATGGCGGCCAGTGATATGGTTTAATTGACATCAACACATGCCCAGAATAATAATCTAGGTTAAAAGCATAGAGTCGTTAAATTTACTTTAATTACCTATATTTTTTATAAATTACAATCTTTGCTAATTTTTGTAAATAAGTTTTTAAATATTAAATAAAAACTATTCTGGTTATAATAGTCATAATCAGAATATTAACAATAAACATAATTATGCATAAATATATTATTATAAATACATTGATATTCTGAATGTTAGTTAATAAATGTGAGAAACTATAGCTAGTTCATTTATACAGACGAATAAAAAACATTTAATTAACCTTACTCAATAGCTATTAACATTAAAATCAGTAATAGAGCTCGCATAAACTTCAAATAAATTTAAATGTAAATAATTCATTAGAAACATGACACTTTTTATTGTTGCCTAACAGTAATTACAACTAATTGTGTTATACTAAATAACCTTGGCCATAATTGTAAATATTTCGATGTAAAGCACATAATTCTTGTTATAAGTGAATGACTTATTCTTTATAATTCTCTTTAATGCAAAATTCAAATATAGTTTTTGCGAAAAATTATAATTTATGTTATTTTAATTAAATACTTTAACAATAATATTAGTTAAAATAAATCTACAGCGTTAAAATAAAAGTCGCTGTACTTTTACATTAATACAAAGGATCAACTACATTTCGCACATTGCAAATATTTCCTTCAAAATAAAACAAACAAACAACCATGCACACTTACATCGACCCCAAAAACATAACTTTCCTCCACAAAAAAAACCATGATGATCCTAATTAATATTATACAATATCCCGTCAAAATAATAGACACACAAACACAGGTCTAAGTGGTAACAAAAAATTTGGTATATAATAGGGGGTACATCATAGACAACATCAGATCGCAATTAAAAAACACTAGCTGTTAATTATAAATTATAATTTTGTATTAACATTACGATACCCATAGACAGTATGTATAAGTATATCGCATTGTTGGTGGCAATGGTTGTGGCCCTATTGGCACAGGGATCAGAAGCCGGATTCTACGGACGGTAAGTTACTATTTACTTAAGCCAATTAAACTAGATGGCTAATCAACCAATTTAATTTAAACTAAATCTATCATGGTTAAAAATATAATACTTAATAAATGTTATTAAATTTAGGGGTGGATACGGTGGAGGCTATGGTGGCGGTTACGGTGGCGGGTATGGCGGTTATGGCCGGGGTGGTTATGGCGGAGGCTATGGTGGATACGGAGGGTAAATTTATTATTAATTTTTAGCATAGTTTATTTTATAATTGTGTTTTAATTCACATTATTTAATAGTCGTGGCGGATATGGCGGTGGCTATGGATACGGCCGTTAATCAAATGATTATGGACTGAACTCTATGAGAAAAAAAAGCAATTATAAATACCCTGTTAAACTGATTTCTTAAATATGTTTAAACTAAATTATGACAATTAAAAAACTTTTGTAGTGCTTCAAGTATGTTTTATTAAATCAATAAATTATGGTATGTTTTAAATAATTTATAATAATTATTTTAAAAATTACCGAGTGGTTATTTTTAAATGTGTATGTTAATGTAATAACTGAAACTTTTATTTTTTGTCTTTTATATTTACTCCTATTAAGACAAAAATTAATCTAAAATTTTAATAATCATGATTATTGCAAGCATTGCATAAAATGTTTTAAAAACAATATAAAGTACAGCATATTAATTTTTCCACATATAGTTTAACTATATTAAATAAATACAATTTTAAACAATTTTGCATTATTTAATTAAAACAATATCTACTGAATAGACTATTTATACAAGCAAGGGCATAATTAGTTTAATTATAAAAATCTTTGTAATGAAAAACACTGCTTAATGATAATGTGTAATGCACATGTATCTCAATAGTACACAGTAGTAGTATAATTCAACTACATTTATTATACCACATTGTACATGTAACTGTATTTTATTAATACACGTTGCATAATTGTACGGTATATTTAATTTACACTCATATGTAGTTTTTTATTATAATTAAGTTTTATGGAATTATTAGGTCAAATAATATTCATACATGCATATCATTAATTAAAATTGTGCATGATAAGTAATTTTCTATTAATGTTAATCAATATTGTATATTGTTGTTTTACTCTCAAGTCTTATAGCTTAATAAAATATGTATAAAGTTTGATTATTTTATTCTAGTATCTAAAATATCTATCAAGATCAGTTTCATTGTTACTATCATGTGTATTATATTATAATCCAATGAAATAATTAACATTGTATTTGTAAATTGTTTTACAATTCAATCTTGCCAAAAAATGGGATTAAAATAGGCAACATGCATAAAATAGTACAGTAGGTGTGCGTCATTAGGCTTACTGTACTAATAATATCTACTGTTAAAAGACGACAAATTTGTTTAAGACCTTAAGACATACTACCGGTGCTAATCTCAAGGCACAGCACATGAGCTGTAAATCCCGGTGCTTTATGTGTGTTGTGTTTGGGATACCAACTAAAAAATCCCATTGAAAATACATGTGCATTGTGTTTGCCATAGAGATAATAAGTATTTTTGTGTTTAAACTTCACAAATCATTTCCTATTCTTATTATATTAATGCATATTAGAAGTAGGGTGACCAGATGTCCAGTAATGGCCTGGATTGTCCAGAAATTAGGTAGTATGTCCAGAATTTGCAAAATATTTTAAACATTACGTCTATGAAGGTGTCCAGGACAAATTAATTCAAAGTAGATAAAAGTCCAGGAATCCAGGATTTTAATATAGATTTATAGTCAAAATCCAGAATTCGGCTAAATTCATCTGGTCACCCTAATTAGAAGTGAAAATTATGTGAAATACAAAATTCGCCTTAAAGTATGTTTCAAATCTATATTTTCAATGCTGTATTTGAATAGCTTAATACTGATTAATAGGAAATACACTACATTGTTAACTATTTAAAAAATTACAAATTTAGTTATATTAATATTTACATTAATGTGTTATTTATAGTAAAAGTATTATTTAATAAATAATTGTTATAATGTCTGTCAAATACTCTACCAATTCATTGGCATTTCTAGTGATCAGCATTTTATTTAACGTTACACACGTGTTATGTAATAACCAAAGTGAGACAAATTCACGATGGCCAGTTTGCGAGCCGGGTGAAGTTAATGGTTGCACTGAGCCTGGTCATCCGAATGCAGTCATAATATCTACGCCACTGTTTTGGTCCGATACCTATGATTTGAAAATGTGTGATAATAATAGTCAGACAATGAATTGTGATAAAAGTAATTTTACCTATGATGAATTATTACACATGGTCCGTATTGATCGCACAGGTCAGGCGTGTTTAACCACCTGTTCAATTCCCTCAAATTATAGTTTACCAAAATTCAGGTATTTATATGTCATATATTATTTTTAATTATTTAAATACTGTAGTATAATATTAATTAAATAAATATATTTATAAATGTAGTAATTGTACAATATATTTACCATGTTTTAATCATAATTATTATTAATCTAGGCATAATCACATGGTATATACAACTCGGTTAATTGTTCGTGGTAATGATTGTGAAAGTAATAGCACCGGAATCGTTGATGATAGTGGTGTGGTTATATACGATCGTGATAATAGTGATAAACAATTAATTAATAGCAACAATAACAATTTAATTGAATTTGAAATACTGTTACTAATTATATGTTTAATTATGGGTTTTCTATGATATTCCTATTTAATTAAATAATAGTTTGTGTTAATTATTATTATTATTAATTAATTATAGAGCAATTGTTTTCAATGATATTTATATTACAATTTATAAATATTGTTACAAGATTTTATTAATTATTTATTATAAATACAAAGTTGTATTTTTTAATCATAATGAATTGACGGTTTTTTGTTCATTTAAAATTTTATTGTAGTTTAATTGATATTTTTATTTTATTTTATTTATGTGTTTACAGTATTTATAATTGTAATGATGTTATAATTATTTATATAAATATATTGTTTATGAAATGTGAAAATAAATATGAAAAGTTTTATTTTAAGTTATTTAGTTAATTATTTTATTTATTATACTTTTTTATTTTTAAATATATAAAATTAGAATATTTTTTAATAATACAATTTTTAAACTATTGTATTATTTATTTAATTTACATGATTATTTTTACTGTAATAGTAAAATATTGTAAACTATATTAATTTGTACTAGACATAATAGTAAATTCAATCATTCATTGAAACAATTATTAGACGGCCAAGGTCACTTAACACATTTACTGGAAAGTTATTTATAAAATGTGTTTTACGCAAATGTTTGCACTATTTTTACACAGCATTTAATTAGAAAAGATTTTTTTCATTATTATCCAATGCTATTATAATTTTAATTATATGTAACCACTATTTCATAATGAAATAGAGAGAGAGAGAGAGA